GGGCATGTCAGGAGAGGTCTGCCTCGCCATGTGGATCTCCTCAGGGGCAGGCGGGGATCGAACTCATGTGGAAGTGGCTTAAGCTTCTTAGTGCTATGCTTTAACCCGCTGCACCACCAGGGAGGGCCCAAGAATTATTATTTTTTAAAATATTTGTTTCTTTATGCATACAAGAACTGGGGTACAAGCCAGAGGTGTGGGGTGAGGAGGTGAGAGGATTCACCAGAGACAGAGAGGGGAGCGGAACAGGCAGATGCACTGAAACACCCTGCTGAGAGGAGCGGCTGAGCCATGTGGGTCACCATCCTGGCTGGGGATCAAACTCATGCTGTAGTGGCTTTGGACAGCTTCATAGTGCTGTGCTTTAACCTGTGGCACCACCAGGGAGGCCCACCGTAAGAATTTTTATCCCTGGTAGCTCACCAGAGGAAGGGGCGCAGTAGAATAAGTCCTTTGCCTGACTACTTGCTTGGGTAATTTGCTTTATTTCTCTATGGTTCAACTTGGACACCTATAAACTCGGGGTGAGGATAATCTTTAGTCTGTGAGATGGTGGGCTAGAAACTGCGAGGGCACAAACAGGCTCTTTCCACTTTGAAAGGTTTGCAGGCTGCACTTGAGTTTGAGGCTGTCCCAGGAATGAACCCTCTGGCTCTCGCGACTGAAGGGGTTGGGTCTGTTCAAGAGTTCTCAGTGCCCTGGTTCCTGAACAGAGCCCTGAAAGCTCGTAGACTCTAGCTTCTCTCTGGGAGGAAGAAAATGAAGGAGGGTACAGAGGATGCATAGGAGGAAGGGTAGAAGTTTTGAAAACCAAATTCTTCAAAACTTCTAGCCTTCCCAGCTGCAGGTGGAGATTCAAAGCACAGCTGTCACCCACTGGGGAGTAACCTCCGACCTTGGCCTTGACCCAAATGTTTCTCCATCCACACAGGTCTGTGTGTTCCCCCTTTAAGCTCTGGCTTTTCTTGGATCTGTCACTGCAGAAATGAGGTGATCTATTCTGAAAGTGTCCCCTTCCACGCTTTTAGGAATCCTGGCAGCTGTTATGATAATGATATATCATGTTTGAAAGAAGGAAAGGCTCTCTTCCATCCTGACTCCCCTGATGTTTTCAGACACACGAAGGGGGCTTTCCACTGCAAGGGCTGGTGAGTAAAACCACTACCTCTCCCGTGGCACTCTTAACCCAGCCCTCTGCTGCAGTCCCCTCTTCTCTGCAGTTTCGATTTCCATCTCTATAGTTACCCCTGATGAACCAAGGTCTGAAATTTTACATGTCGCAAGATATTTTAAGAGAAAGACCACATTTACAAGACTTCTATTACAGAATAGTAATACTGTAATATTTTATTTTATTTTATTTTATTATCAATCATTATTGTTCATCTCTTATAGCATCTGATTTAGAAATTAAACTTTAGCATGCCCTCCCAGGTGGTGCAATGGGTTGAAGCACAGCACACTGAAACTATCTGCAGCCACTGCAGCAAGAGTTCTCTTCCCTTTAGAACTGAACATGCAGTTTGCATACAGTTTCCAGATAGGGGGGTGAAGGGTCACTTTAAGAAATGACTTTAATGATGGTTTGTAAAGTTCATAAAAGAACTGCTGAAGGAAATCCTTCTGACATTTTTCTTTATGGCAAGAGATTCTGTCTTGAAATTGAGTGCAGTCGTCCTGTCTTTCAGTGTCCACATGTACCTTGCTAGTATGTGTAGGTTTTTTAGGTAGATTTTTGTTAGTTTTGTAACCTGCGG